ATCTACTAAAAGTAGAATAATCTTSAGCTAAGTCCTGGCAAATACGTCCTTGGTGAAGACAAAATCTYGTCCTCCCTGAAAACTTGTGTCAGCTTCCCTGCTACATCTACACACGTGCAGTCACAGGTGCAARGCTCACAATAAGAAACTTTTCAGTTCTTCCTGCAGTCAGTACATTGAAGTGGTTAACAAGAGGGCTCTTCACAGTCTGTAGACACATTCACCCTTCAAGTACTGAGTCGCAGAGTCTGCTGTCAGTCTCCATCCCTGAGTTCAGACACTAGCAGATCTTCAGTGCTCCTGTGATTCTCAGTTGAAGGTTGTGGGTTAAAGCTAAATCTATCCATTTCACTACTAGAAACAAATAATTAGGGACACCTTCATTTCCACTTAGATTTAAGGCAGAAGTTTATATAGTATACGCAAATAACTCATTAATTTCTAAAACATTTCTGCAAAGACTGTTTTCAAGATTTACTTTAATATTTTATATATAGAAATACTTAAATGCATCTATATTACCCAGTTGCTGGACATCTAGAAAAACTATTTTTAATTGCACAGCTTTCAGATACTTCAGAATATAATCTAATGCATTAACTTTTATTACCAGTTCATCTAAAACATGCAGGAACAAAAAAACAAAACAAAACAAAAAAAAACCAAAAAACAAACAAACAAACAAAAACTAGTAAATGACCAGCATGTAAAGTCTCAGCTCTGGGCAAAAATAAACACTTTCAGTATGTAACTGGCCACTGACAAGTGCCACTTCTAATCACTTAGTTAACTTTGACAGGAAAAATAAACCCCAACAATACAACACTTCAACATGTTGTATATGGCCTTGATTCTTACCTTTCATGTACTGAGAATACTCTCTTAGCTGGATTCGACCTTTTTTTGTATTCACACTTTGCTAACAGGATTATTTATAATAACAGACTTCTAAGAAAACAATTTCAGGTTCTTCCTATTAGACAATTATCATTAGCTACAAAGTATTAGATGACTACAACTCCTCAGCTAGATCATTACATGCATATTCCATTTGATTCAGCATAAACGTCACATGCTCCTTCACTTACATTCTCAGCTATAATTATTACAATCTTTAGAACCACTTCTCAATAAAATCTAAGGAGAAAAAACACCACAAGCTTCCATATTTTGTGGAAATTTAATCACATTTCAAAATATTTTATTCTGAGGGAAATCTTGAGGGTTTTTGGGGTCTAGTTATTGCATAAATTTAATCACATTTCAAAATATTTTATTCTGAGGGAAATCTTGAGGTTTTTTGGGGTCCAGTTATTGCGTATAGTAAGGTAAGTAGAACAGGAATTAAGGGTGGTGTAAAAATGATACATAGTATAAAGTTTGCATTTCTCTGTTTCAGCACAAGGTAAAGTGTTACTGACACTTTTCTTGAATTAAATGCTTTACACTTTATTATTAACCAGCATTTATTGTCTCAATAGAAGGGTGAAAGGATTCCTGTTTGATCTTACCTTGTACCACTGCACGTTAGAGGATCCTACCTTTTCCTTATGGGTACCTCACTAGCCACTTCTTCCCAAGGCACTTCTTTAAATTCCTCATGGCATGCACAGACAGCAAAATTAAGTGTGTATGGTGTTGTGTAGCTRGAATAAATCACTTGCACATGGGAATCTCACCTACTGAGTTTTGCTTATATGGCTTTATGTTTCCTTTTTCTCCATTAGTATTTTGTGGAAAGCAGATATGAACCTTGGTGCTTTGATCAGTGTATGCACAAGCTAAAGATGTGCATACACCTCTACAGTGCAGGCTCTGATCGTGGTTTTTATGGGGTCATTGYGAAAGGAGGCAGAATTTATCCCACAGTTCAATGTTGCAATAGGTGTAAGGGCATTGCTGGAACAATATTCACCATGATACAAAAATTTAATAAAGAAGAAAGATGCTTTGATTTCTTTCAGAGATCCATATCATTATTCAGCATGGAGAAAWCATCTGCTAAAACATTCAGCAGTACCTGGCCTGTTGATAGCAGTGCATTGCTGCTTTCTGTGCAAGAATGAGACAGCTGTGATTTCTGCTCTGTACCTGCTGCCCACCCCCACCACACCTGCAACAGCATCAGCTCTATTTGTACTGTAAAGATCTAAAACACAGCTCCAGAAGCATTTTCTCTTTAGCTGTTGTAGGTCTGAGCTAGCTAGCTTGCAATCACTTCAAGTAAGATCTTCTTGCTGGTAGCTTTGATCTCCCCATTCTTGAGAAAGAAAAATTGAAAGYGCTGACATAAAAAGATTAGATCATATTAAACTGAATCAAACAAAGTGTCAGCTTTACTGCTTACKAAGAGAAGACCAGAAAAATAATATTCTTACCTAAATTTGGTTTAGACAGATCTAGGAGTTGAGCAGTTCCAGTAAGAGTCAGATTCAACTTCCAAATTATAAGATTTCAGACCCTAGTGGTTCAAATTTCACAAGGAAAGCAAGCTCAAAAGGCACCCAATTCCTCTGCTGAAAATCATATTATACATCTTTCACTACCAGGGGAAAATTTATCATCTGTGGTCATGACTGAACCAAACCAGAGAAATAAGTTCTTTCTTTCCAGAAGAAAAATCTGTACAAAATTTAATATGCACTCATATTCAGCCATATTCAAAATGACAATTTGTGAGTTTTGCCATCCTGCCCACTACTACCAACATGCTTCTGCCTCCACTGAATTTTTTATACCTTGATTTAAGATTCAGACCTACAGTTTCTTTCTGGTCATATTGTTCTATAATTTTACAAAAAATTCAAGAGGGCTTGAAATAATCTGTTCAAAGGTTGTCCAAAGACCTTCCTTTGACTTAGGCAGTGGAACAGTCCGTTAAAAGTATGAATGTTCCCTCCCCAGTTTGGGTGTCAAGCAACTCAGATAGTCAATTGATTTTGTAATTTTGAGCTTAATTCTAGCTTAACATTTGGGGTGAAGGGTTTACTTTCATAAAAGTCAGACAAAACTCCAGTTGAAATAAAATGAAACTCTCCTAACAAGAATCACACAAGAGAAGTATTGTTTAAGATCTTCAGCTATGTTTGATTCCAAATCCAGAGGTGTTAAGAGATATTTCTTCATGAATTATGAATTCAAGGATTCTTTCATCATTAATGTATAATTGACCTTTTCTGTCCAGATCCTCGTTTAGTGATTTATTTTGATAAATAAATAAATGAAAYAAAAATCTTCAAAATACTTTTCTTGAAACTTGCATTCTTTAGGAATGCTGCAAGTAAAAGAAAGGGAAAATATCCTCTGAGGCAGAACCTAGTACACTGGCACTCAATTAGATTTTGACCTTCTTCACCTATAAAGGATTGGTAGACAGACATTGTTTGCTACTTGCCTGAATTAAATTGGGTCTCCTGAGATGCATATGAAGTAATTTTAAAAAAGAAAAACAATGTTAACTGAATTTACTCAACCATCAATCTGAAGCAAACCATATTTACCGTATTCATCTATTAAACTAATATAATCTTGCACATTTTAATCAGAAAAAGTGACATTTAATTAGTGTTACACAGTCAAGCCTTGAAGAAGCTCCCCTATCTGAGCATGCAGCTAGGCTGCCATTTTTCAGWCTCACTACAGTGAGTCTTGTACCCTTTTATGCTTCCCTTGGTCAAAGCAAACTGCAGGATTGTTTTACTAATTCAACTGCCTGACACCCTTCCTCAGCAGAAATAAGCACTCTTTTCACAATTTAATACAARTCACACCTTTTGGCTCAACTGCTTKATMCTGAAAGGACTGGCACCATCTCCTTTCCCAAATCCCTAATTTTCCTTGAGTATATTTCAATTTTTAAGACTTGTGATGGTTGAGGCAGAGATATTAGTTTATAAAAACAAAACAAAAACCAAAGAAAATCAATCAGTCTTAATAACAGCAATCTACAGATCCAGACACACCAACAAAATAAAAAAGCCAAAATCCCTGTGCATGTGACTTCCATACCTTTCTTTCTTTTTTTTTTTTTTTTTTTGGCGAAACAAGAGCTATTGAAATGTTCTTCTGTTGAGTGGTTTCAGACTATGACTCAGATTCTTGGCTGTTCCTGGAGCACTCAGTTTCTTCCATCCAGAGGTGCTGAAACAAGGCAGTCTTCAATGATGGCATATTTCTGTTTCTGCCCAAGTTTCCTGCATTTGCCTTCTTTCTTTCATGTCCCCTAYTTGTCTCACACTCTGCTTTGTAAAATTGACCTTTTTTATTGTTCTAATTGGAGACCTTAGAAACCTTCCACTCCCAGCCTCATGCAGAAAGTAAAGATAACTGTTTCCACATCAACTATGGCCATCCCATTGTGTTATGGCATTTCTGTCACGATGGTGACTGGTGTTGTTTAATGTTTCTCAGGTGCTTTGGGTCCTGAAGAGCTTGGCAGAGTTCTGCTATCAGGCAGCAGGCTGTATATACAAAGCCATTCTACTGATAAAGCACTTTCATAAGCTCACTCACTCTGACCCTTATGTGCATCCACAAAAAGCCTGTAAATCATCAGGGGTTTATTTACTTTTCAAGGACTTAATTTCATTTTTATAGAAAGAGGCAACTTGAATTTCTGATTTTAAAAAARTATCATGGGCCAAAGCAGCACAAACAGATCAAGCCTCAATAAACMGTCTTCTGAGTCAGCTTGCAAAGCTGAAAACCCGAATATATTTTTTTTAATATTTCATCATTGTACAGCAGGGAATTATAGCAGCCGCACTGCAACACTAGCCATTTCAAATCAAATTATTCCATCTCCAAGTGAACTTCCCTCKCCCCTGCCCACCCAAAATCATATTGCAGCAATTAACTTCTAAGTCATGGTTCTACAACTTCAGCTATTTGACAGCATAGTCCAATAAAYGTGGCATGAGCTAATTTCATAGGAGCCCCAAAGACTTGTTTTGGATGAGGCAGCCACTTACTACAAAAAAAAAAAACACCATCATTTTTTTTCTCCAAACACAATATTCAAGATGTTTTTATTCATTAAATATTCACTTATTTTACCCAAGTATAGGCTAAAGACTGTGATCTTGTCTGAAGTATCTAGCGTCATAATATATTTATTGAGAAGCTTATTGATCATTGTCTCAATGTTTATYTTATTTTCCTTTAATATTCCCAGTAAATAGCATTTTGACGTTATTTTCGGGGGGAAAAAAAGGAAACAGATAAGAAAAACAAAATAGGTCATTAAAAATGTACTTTAAAATACTTCCAGCAGCAACCTGCAGGCTTAGGGGAAAGCTTATTGTCAAGTATGATTTATGAAAACTTGTTAAATTYACTTAAGATAACTGGGAGGCAGACTAGGCTAGTACACTAATAACATCTTTAACATAAAGCCTTATGGAATACAGTGCATCCTTTATACAATAAAAAGGCTAATTTAGCTTGTCACAACACAGAACTAAATTAATAGGGAAGTCAAAAGGCTCTCAATTTATGTGATTAAATAAAAAAATTGGGTGATAGCCAAGCTATTGCTACCATTCAATTGTTTTTTCTTSCCTTATCATGTAAAAATTAGATATTGTGTGCATGCAAGAAAGTACTGTAGCCAAATGAATGCAGAGCCACCAAAAAAAAAAAATCTACTATGCACTGACATTTCATATCAGCCTTTTTTTTCTCTGCAATAATTAGTCCATTTGTATTTTACAATTTCTGTTAAATTTAAAAAGCATTACTTTCTGGCAGATTTTTGGTGCACATATAATCAATTTCTTAATTAACCAAGGACTAGTACCATTCCTTCTGGCCTACAGATGAAAACTCACCTCTACTACTATTTGTTTCTCATACATGAATTTTTCACAGCTAAAAAGTTATTGCATGTAACTTGCATGTATCTATGTGCAAACACACACATGAACACACACACGTGTTATGTAGAAGCTGTATCCCGATCTGAGCCTAGACTGGGAGATGATCATAATGAACCACAGGAGGTCCTTGTGAGGAATGGGAGACTCCTTGGTGCTGTGTAGCAAAATTAATGAATACCTGTAAGACATGACAAAAAGTAGGGTTTTAAGAATACCAGTACTTGAATTCAGACTTTGGGGATGTAGGTGATGATTTTTTAGCTGCTCTCCTAAGCTTTTTTGACAAAATACTTAATAACTTCCATTGAGGGAATCCCTCTAAAAATGTGTTTTATAAACTCTAGACATAATCTCTCTTTCCATCTCCAGCTAAAACGGGGATTATTAAATGATAAAAATTATGGTAAAAGAAGGTACTGAGATATGAAAATTACACTTTATTGCTGCACAAGTTAATAGGAAACAATGGTTTTAACTGTCTTTGAATGACCCACCTAAAGAGTCTGAGTCAGTTTTTTCTGCCAATAAATTTTACAGATGAGGGTCCAAGTAATTCAAGATAACAGCATCATACTTCTGATTCAACAACTTATGYGCCTCCTTGACTTGTTTTGGCTTGGGTTTTTTTAACATTTCTTACTACAAAAAGGCTTGTTTCATTATTAATTGCACAACTATTTCACARGAAGGAATGTAGAGGGGAAAATGTCTATTCTTTATTCAAATTATCCTCCTCATATGCAAACAAAGTTAGGGTGCATTATAAGTGTGTTACTGTGGAGAGCTWTTTTCCTGTTTAAAACTGACACTCAGTCAAGGAGAGAAAGCAGTGATAGGTGACTGAGGTGATGCATCACCATGAATAATGGAGAGGAAGTAAAMTTGAGTGAACAATGCCTGAAGAAACAGGCTGAAATTATCCTCTATGCAGCCATTCAGTGAATAGATCATTTACAAGCAGTTAGTAGACCAGTACAGAGAATACTTCAATAATGAATTGCACAGGGAAAAAAGGCATAAGTGCACACCATCAATCATAGAAAATTAATATTTTGACTAGATGTGACTCTCAGTTCGTAGAATGAATAACAAGCAGTTGTATATGAAGATGCTGTGACACATCACAATCACCCAGAAATCCCATGCTTGTCATTAATGTGTTCTTCCTTTCCTCACAATAGGATTTCACATTCTTTAGCAGTCTGATCTCTTCTGTCTGCTTGTGCACTCAAAATTCTCAGAGGAAAATGCTCTGAAAGTCTAAGGTTTACTATGATTTACAGAGACTSGTTCAGCCTTTTCAAGGGCATTGGTAAAATCCCAGCTTTTGGATTGTGRAGGTGGCAGTTCAGTCCCACCTGGTCATCCCACACAGCCCCGGATGTATCCAAGCACAGATTGATGTTGGTGCACACTACATGTATGTGACTTKCTGTGATGCTTTTACCATGCTCACCTCCACTATAAAAGCAGTGTGGGTCATGGAGTTACTGGTCTGGAACTGTTGGAGCATTGCACATATTCAGGTAACCCAGCAAATGACAGCATATTCTACTACATCAAAAACTGCAATACACAGCATGTTTAGACCAAAAAAAAAAAAAAAAAAAAAAAAAAAAAAAAAAAAAAAAAAAAAAAAAAAAAAAAAAAAGAAAAGTGTGGGGGCTGGGATGAAAAGAAAAGGAAAATAATAAAATACCTGCTCTAATGTGGTTTGGCTGATAGAATAGTGTTTGATTTGAAGAAAAGCTTTGTGATTCTCTAGGACTCTGAAGAGCTCTGCTAAGCATCCCTGACTCCGTGGTACATGGTATTCGAGCAAGTTAAGATGTTGTCCCTGAAAACAAGCAAAAATTATGAAAACAGATAAAAGTGAATGTACATTGTGGTGAAGCTACACTTACTTATAATTCTTCCAACTTCAATAGGCTCTTATTGCAGATTAATATGGCAAATATGAGCTTTTTAAAAATAACGTATTTTGTCTATGTTTGTAGCACAGAGGACAGTTCATACTTTGAGCGCAGATTTTGTGTGTTCTGAGGTGACAATTTGTTAATCTCATAAAAGATATAAAAAATTAGGACAATCTTAATCCAGCAGACTAGTGCTGCTACAACGCAGTCTGGGAAAAGGCTGAGCACATACAGAAACACAGCTGTCTGAGCTCAGTWCAGACTTATAGACACAAAGAGGTTCATATCTAAGACAGACACTGCTTTCTGGGATTCTTTTCCTAAACACAGTTAAAGCCTTTAAGAGCTTTTATTGAAATGTAATTGCTATAGGTCTTTTATAAGGCTTTGTATTTAATCAAAGAATCTCAGCATAGGCTGAGATTTATCGACTCTGGACCTTATCAGAAGGTCTTGATACCTTGTTCTTATGCAATCAAAGAAAACAGTCTCAGTGACTACATCGTAGTCCTAYTGCAGCTGAACACAAATTTGAGTCCAGCTTCACCAATAATAAAAGCAAAAGGAAATTTTCACTCAGAGAAAAGGCCTTTTTATTTACATTATCTAGATGCCTGTTTGGAGTTCATTTAACCAACACCACAAGCCCAATTTTTATGAAATGCTTAATAGAAAAATAAAAGGAATATTCATTTGCACTTTTTCCAAATGGAKCAATATATCCAAACATGTACATACAGTTCTTACCAGCCCCAAATTAATTCTGCCATGCACTACAACAAGGAGTTTCAGCTGTACCTTAAACTGTGTTCCAGGAAAGTGCAGTTGTAGACAGWCCAAAATCATTGTTTGATAACTTATTTCTTTGCTAAGCCAAACCTTGACAGAATAACCATCTCCAAACCTGGCAATGAGAGACAGAAATATGAATCCATGAAAACAGCAGGAAGACAAGAAGAACATTTTGTTMTTTGATTTTCCTATGATAATATCAAATATCATGCATACGTACTGCATTATCATTATGATTTTACTATTATACTAATGAACAACAGAATTTCAATGAGAAAGTTGTTAAATTAATGAWAACAGAGACAAAAAACAAAATATGCCTAATTTTAGTTACTACAGGGTGTTTAACTACCCAATATACCTGAACTTATGTTAAGTAACCTATGCTTTAATTGTTATATTGCTTTGAGTGGTCAGTACAAAGCTATGAAGATTAMCAATCACATATACAGGAAAAGAAAACTAAATCCTTTAACTTTTCTAATGAAATAAACACATAGCACTATTGTTTCAAATCTGTTGACAAAGCTGCACATTCAAAAGCAGATTTCAGCAGTGTGAGTACAATGGTGTTTTACAGACATGCAAAGGCAAGTGTGAGGATATTTAGGGAGACTGCAAAGTTAACAAATCTTCTTTGGCTCTATGACCATGCAATCTCTCTCAGTAGAATTTAGGAAATGAACTTCTCTTTCTCAACACGAATGTGATAAAAGTTAAGTACAGGCAATCTAACCAACACTATATTTTTATTCGCTTTTCTCACTGCTGATAGTTATTTGGGAAAGTTGCAATAAATCAGTAAACACTGAAACAATAACCTTGTTCTTATGCACATTTCTTAAGCAATGGAAGTTGTGCTGCACCAGTCCCCAGAGCTCAGTAGAGACATGGGGCAAAAAGGACTGTGGTGTGCCCTGTCCCCCCACTGCAGCTACAYGTCCCTCTTCCTTTGGGTCATCCTTCTTAGCTAATAGCTAGGGAGAAACACCAGCAGCAGCCACATCAGCAGAGCTTTTCACTGTCGCTGTTGTTCCCTGTTGCCAGTGAGCAATGGAAAGGCAGAGCTGAAAAGCAGACAAGGAGCTTGGACAGCACAGTCCATGTCTCCCCAGAAACCCATCGCTTCCTCTGTCATCCCACTGACCACCACTCCTTAATCCCTCATTCCAGCATGACTTCCTTTTCTTGATTCTACAGYGTCACAATTACACATTGCCAAATCCTTTATTCCAGTGGTTTGGTTCCTAGTGATTGCCTCTGTACACCCTGATGCCAAAACCCTCCTTTTTCATGTCTTTCCTGTCCTGTGTGCAACTCATGATACAGGACAGCAGCTGAGTTAATTGAATCTGACTGGTGAGRGGCACATTCTCATGTAATCAAAGCAGAGGATATATCACAGCCCACTCTGAAGTATTGCCATATTCCAATACATTAAAAAATGTCTGTGGAGTATCAATCATAAGGTAATAAAAGATAGAAAGAACTATTTTGAGATATAGGTCTAGTTTAACCCGTGCATGAATGACTCCCAGCAAAATATTCCACATGAAATACCATGTTCCTCACCTATAGTAAGTACGCAGCAATGTAAGGGCTCTAACTTTTATTTTGCAATGGATCCAAACTTCTGTTGTTATAAAACAATACTCTTCATTGATTTCCACAATTAAAAAAAAACAGAATGCAGATTTTATTGTATTAAGAATTTCACATTAATTCAAAATATAATTTTCAAGAATCTTAAACAAAAATCCTAATTTACTGCGTAGCAAAAACCAGTGGCAGCTTCTGCATAAAAATGAAAAGCCCCATTACAGATAAATTAGCATAGGGGTTTTTAGTCTTTGGTTGGTTTGTAGGGTTTTTTGTGGGTTGTTTTTTTGTTCTTGAGATTTTTTCTTTGGTTGGGTTTTGTTTTGTTTAATTTTTTATTGCAGTCAAATGCAACTGTTGAACCACTTGAAACAGAGTAAGAAACATGCTGATGCAGGGTCCTGTCTGGTTATTCCTGGAAGACGTTTCATGAACTAAACTCTATTKGGTCCAAATTTCAGGGTACTAAATATTTACTGGACAGTGTAGCCTGACAGATGAACAGTGCTGATATATCAGAGAGATCCAGAATTAGGTGGAATCCAAAGCAGTGCCTGGCAGATTTGCTTTGCAATGATTTACTAAGACATAAAAAGATCTCTAATTAAATGTTTTAAATGCATAGGATCATCCCTGAAAAAAACACATGTGACAATAAAAAAAGTTGTTACAAAGATGGATATAGTTAACAAGGGTATTCAATTTAGTTGACAGCTAACCTGAGGCAACATTTTACAAGAGATCATTGATTCTGATCAGTTTCCTGGCATTTCTATACAACCACCATTGAATTAAAGCTTGAAAAATGCTGGCTTATGGAGACATTCAACAGTCTCATAAAATGAAATTGCTGTATGCAATGAAGTTTCCAAAGAAAATGAATCAAAATTCTGATCAGCAAAGACACAGGAGTCCGTGAAACTTTGGTTTTGTTCTAAATTGTGAACAGCATAAATGCCAGCATGGCACTAATAAAAAGCTTTAAAAGATTTTCTTCTTTTGGCTAGTCAAATTATGACACTTCTACACCTCCATTTTATACTTTATTTTACTGCAAGTGCTCCCCATATAGAGTAAGCTGATCAACAATAAACATTTCCCCCTGCTATAATCAGCAAGCTGCTTTCAGCAGAGCACCGAGGCAATGGAAATTGAGTTGACCATTTATTTCACTCTGTTTTCCTCTCTGATTCAGACAATATAATTAATTCAGAAACCCAAGGTGGAATTACAGAGAAAAGGACAGTCTGGTTTGATTAGTGCTGTCAGGATCAAACCTTTAGCACCGGATAGCTCAAGACCTAAAGAGGAAGACATTATCATTAAAATGGCCTAAGGTGAGCCAGCACATCATTCAGCAACTGTCTGCTGCAAAAGTAGAATCATCTCTTCAAAGCTACTCAAACAGAACTTATTTTCCAGGTGCCATGTCACTTTAACAACACCTGCATTTCTATTTGTGTATGAACACACGCACAAAAATACATATTCTGACAAAAAAAAAAATATTTTTCTTCTCTCCATCCTTCCTTTTCTTCCTCAATCAAGCTAGTAGTTCATGCTTGATTTTTGCCTCATTAGTGTTTCTGGGAATATAACTTATTGAATGTTTTTTTCTGTTAAAATGTCAACATGAGACTGAAACAAAAATATAAATTCCCAAACTGACTGTAAACCAATTAAATTGAGTATTCAACAGCAGCACCAACTRTGGAAGCAGGACCTTAGCAAGAACTACAAGAACTCCACACTTTTAACTTACCTGGGTCCTCAAGGTATGTGAGCAGCTCAGATACCAAGGGAGTAAAAGGAATGTAAAATGGTAGCGAGGGATGGACCTATTTCTATACCAGGAATTACTAAATAAACTAAAACTTTTCATCATGAAAGGAAGCTGACTAGGTGGTAGAAAGGTGTTTTTTAGGGAGACCAGAATTATGACTAAGAAATGAAAGTAATAAATAATTCTTCATTCATACGTTTCTCATGCAACAGTAGGCATCATCAAGTTAAATTATAGGGAAAGCAATCAATTGAAGCAATTGCAATTATTAAAACAAATCACTAAGATGAGGTAATTTTCCTTACAGTATGTAAGGGTGTAGCACTCATTGACATGGGATGTGCTAGATGTCAGAACTTGACATGACTTGAACAAGAGACCAGAAAAATTCATGGTGGGGATTCACTAAAACTACTTCTGACTTAAGAAGCCTTTAAAAAAGAAGCTGCTGAGGGTGGTTGAACAATGTGATAAAGTAACTTCATGTGCTTCTCTTGTTCCTGTACTTTTCCCTCTTGACCACTTGCAGAGAAACAATACTGTGCTAACAGGTGTTTGATCTGACCTCAGGCTTCTTTTGGTGTAAATATCACTAAAAGGAGGTCAGCCTGGGTGCATCACCCAAATGGTTCCTCAGTTCCCAGAAGGGTTTTGCAGTCCCACAGCCACTGCAGCAGWACAAAAATAAATTATGCAAGTCTGCTTCAGATATGTGTCTATATAAGCTCCAGTCACATTGCGGAAGAAAGTGTCCCCAAATCTATACTGATGAAGAAATTCCCTGGATGCTTTCCTGGTGCTCTTTTAACCTTTTAATGGCAATGGAAGTGGATTTAGTGGCCCAAGGGCTGAAAATTCTCATGAATATCAAGGAGAGGGGTTGCCACTTGGGGCAGAGAAGCTTCTCAACATTCCCTTCTGCCCATTCCTTGGAGGTCCTGGTTCATAGGTTTGAATGGGAACAAGAGTCCTTGCTGAAACACAGTGCCTCGTGAAACACAGCTGAGCCTGCACTTGGTCACAGAGTCCCTAAAGGAATYAACCCAATGGGTTTTTTTAAGCTTGACCCATGAAAACCTCCTTTATGTGAAAGKTGAAAAAGAAAGCCTATCAGTTTGTTATCAACAGACTTTTATTTGCATTAAAAAAAAAAATCTGATTTTTAATTTAAAAAATTTAGGAGTTTACTTGTTTACAAATGAACAAAGCCAAATCTTGAAACCACTGTTTGAAGTTACAGCAGGTCCAGAATAAACAGCTCATCAAATCACACTCTTCCCAAAGCCTATTTACCAACTCTTCTCTTCCCCAGTAAAATTTGCTGAATGTAACCTCAGGAAATGAGGGACATGGCCCCATTTCCTAAACTCTGAGGAATAAGAAAAGCATCTAATCACCCATATGCTTTTTTTTCCCCACTAATCAAAGAGTACATTTCCTGGAGAATGTTGTGCTATATACATATATACATCAAAAAATTACAGCTCCCAGAAAGTTTACTGATGGAAATATAATGTGCATACTTTGTGTATGCTATACTTTGATCAAAAGATTGCTTCAAAATGACATTATTGGATAACAAAATAAAAATAGTAAAGGGAACATTGGCACTTAATGTCTSCAAGAAACTGCATCTTTTAGAATATATGGCATAAATCAAAGAGAGGGAATAATTTGCTACTGTGCTGTTTATCCCTCTGCTTTAGTTTACATTCATTTGCAGGCAGATA